GTTATGTGGTTGGTATCCCTCTCCGTAAGCCCTTCTCCCCCTCAATGCACGGCTAGTCCAGTCCTCTCATGCTCTGATAGCTTAAGTGCATAAAGACGGCAGAGGATGGTGAGAATAAAGAGTGGGAGGAGTCTGTGGCTCTTCAGAAGTCCTATTTGCTCCCACCTCCACTCCAGGGTCCCCTGCAGTTTGCCATGTTGAGTTCCTATGATAGACAAGAGAGGAACTCTGCATGCTGCTCTCGGTCTGCTGCAAACACAAGTCCCTTATCAGCCACAGTTTCCTCCTCCACCTCCTTCAAACCTATTGCTATTGAAGAGTGGATGTACCTCCTTTCTTCCACCTCCATTACAAGTATAGTAGATTGTGATAGCAACTAGTTACCCCCATTGCAGCCCACTCCAGCAAATGCCATTACATCCATCACATTAGTCTAATCTTTCTGTTAAAACGGTAATAAGTGAAATAGCTAATGAAGAGACATATTAAGTTCACTAGCTGTCAGAGTTAATGTTCCATTGACATGGCTCTTAGTGTTCAGCCAGCATGCAACAAAAGCTCTAAGGCAGATATTACCACATTGGTTTACATTTTAGACACATTTTTAAAGTTACCTTCAAAAGAACAACATCTAGAGACATTATAAAGTTAAAGCTTAGATTCTGGAGTGCAATTAAAAAAAAGGGTGGGGGGGGCAGTTATGCACAAGGCCATGGCTGTAATTAATTAGCGGACATTCTGTTAAAGGATTTTAGCGCAGGATAGTGTTGGCCTTACTAAATGAGAAATATATAGTCCCATCTTATCCCATTTCCTCTATATCCAATGAAGGAGGGAATGCATCCTAGGGGATAGAGCAGAGGTGGGCAAACTACGGCCCACGGGACCATTGTTATACCAATAAAATAAAAACCAGCGGGATCTTATTAAAGGGAAAAAGGCAAAATACCACATTTAATGTGAATACAGAAAGAATCATAGTAAGCAGTTAGTTATAGCTATAACATTCCATTCAATCTCATATTTATTCACACATTCATTCATACACACACACAGGTTCTGCAGGTTGTTACCATAGTTACCAGCCTTAGAGTTGCTCATGCCAAGCCACTGGCCAGGTGGCCTGGACATGAGGAGGGAGCAGGGCCTCGTCAGATGCACATCTGGTGCTCCTGGAAGTTGGTTTGCAGAATCAGACCCCAAAGTTCTCACTTTCTAGAGTCCATTTTTATAGGAATTTCTTCCTATGCCAGTCTATGGGAATTGCTTCGTCATGCTGTTGCTGAATCAATCAGCAGATAGCACATTCCTGATGTCTCCGCGCTGCTAGATGTTATCTTGTTCTGTGGTTCTCCCATTCTTGAGGCTGTTGGGTGGATTCCAGTCTGCCCTCCGGGGGTCCTCTGGTTATTTCCACTTGACGCCTTCTTCAGCCGATGGACACTGGATTCTTAGGCTGGCACCTCCCTGATCATTCAGTTATTATCAACACCAAGCATCCATCCACATACATCCTCTATCTCTATTTTAATCACAATTGTTAACAAAGCAAGATGAGTCTCTGGGTGCTGTTTCTGTTGTTACAGAGTATTGTTTTGAGTCTCTCTCTGTGTGAGTAGTTGTTATTATAAAGAATTGCTTTGAGAACAGACTCTGTCTTAGAATGTACTAACGCAATTAGCAGCTTGCAAGTTTCACACATAGAGAGAGAGAAACAGTACCAAAAACCAAGAGACCTCTTAATTAGTAATACCCTGGAATTTAAACTATGGGGAATCAAACTCATTTGTGATTTTAATACAGAACTTTTTTAATATGATCCAACACTGTCCTGCCTGGCCCCTGAGCTCCTGGCCAGGGAGGCTAGCACCCAGCCCCTCCCCTGCTGTCCCCCTCTCCCCCATAGCTTCAGCTCACCATGCCACCAGCGCTCTGGGCGGCAAGGCTGCAAGCTCCTGCTGGGCAGCACGGTGGCATGGCTGGCTCCGGCTGCGCGGCGTGACTGCCAGTCCTGCTGCTCTGAGAGGCATGGTATGGGAGCTGGGGGGTTAGATAAGGGGCAGAGGGTACCAGGGGCAGTCAGGGGACAGGAAGCAGTTGGACAGGTGGGGAGTCTCGGGGGCCTGTCAGGGGGTGGGGGTGTGGATAGGGGTTGGGGCAGTGAGGGGACAGGGAGCAGGGGGGGTTGGATAGGGGGTGGGATGCTGAGGGGGAGTTGGGGGGGTCCCAGGAGGGGGCTGTCAGGGGACAAGGAGCAGGGGGGGGTTGGATGGATCAGGGGTTTTAAGGGGGGCAGTCAGGGGGTGCGAAGTGGGAGGGGGAGGAGACCAGGCTATTTGGGGAGGCACAGCCTTCCCTACCCAGCCCTCCATACACTTTTGGAACCCGGATGTGGCCCTCAGGGCAAAAAGTTTGCCCACCCCTGGGATAGAGCATGGGCTTAACTCATGAGGCCTAGGTTCTATTCCCAGCTCTGCCACTAGACTTTTGAGTGAGTTTTGGAAAGTCACTTCACCTCTCTGTCCATTTTACCCCTATCTGTAAAATGGGGAGACTACTGACTTGTTTTGTGAAGCCCTTTGACACCTAATGATGAAAAGTACTCTGTAAGAGCTAGCTGGTATTATGAGGAGTCCTACTACATTCCATCTCCCCATCCTGGGATTCCAGTTACTCATCCCCCATCCATGAAGTGACTTTTGGTCTCACTATTTTCTTCCTATTTTAAAAACAAAAAAGCTTCTTTTGTTGTCACAATCCCTGGCCCCACTGTTTTAGCATGCACGTAAGGGGAGTAGATACAAGCAGATGATACACATATCCTTAAGATTAGCTCTAGAATGGGAGAATAAGAAGCCATGGTTAGGTCTCTTTCCTGGAACTGACATGCCCTCTCAATACCCAACTCCAATTTGTTGTCCTATAACCAGGCTCTCAGAAGTCAGAATATGGTAGGCTACTACTGCCATGTACCTTTGGCAGTGCTATGTGTTAAAAGATGCCCCCTGATATGGGGCTAGATTCAGCAAGGCTTACTCACAGTAAGTAGTACTCACTTGTGCTCCCTGCTGAGTATGGTTCTCTAATCTTTACTCATGTTACATAGTATCTTCGTCTGCCAAGTAGTTCCACTGAAACCAGTGGGGCTACTAGCAGAGTGAATTACTAACTCAATATGAGGCATCAGGGCCTGGATCCACATCTAACTTTTAGACACCAGGAGAATTAAAGGAACAATGGGATTCTCAAAGCCTGAGTTAGGTATGTAGGCTCCCTACACATAGAGGGCTGCCCAAACTAGCCAATGGAGGATATTGACAAGAGGGGTGTGTTCTAAGGCCTGCCCCTCTCTGGGAGATTAGCACCGATAGGTGCCTTATCAGCAATCAGGAATCCCTCTCGGAGTCAGGTGGTTTACACACCTGGTCTTCTTAAAAGAGAGTGAAGCAGACACTTCTCTCCATGCAAAACAACCAGAGGAAGTGATGCTCCTCTTAACTTTCAGCCCAATGGTTAGCACAATCAGCTGGGATATGAGAGACCTGGGTTCAAGTCCCCCTCTCCATCAGAAGGGAAGACCCTTTTCAAATTCTCTCTGTCTGAGGGGGCTCTAACTACTGAGCTACAGGATATGCTGATAAGGACCTTCCTCAACCTTTCCTGAGGAATCTGTGCTGCTGTGTGTAAGTAGTCACCGTAGCAGGGCAACTGGCCCCTGGATCTCCCGCCTCCCATGCTGGTGCCTTAAACTCCAGGCTAGGGAATCTCTCTGACTCAATAATATTTATCCATAGTGGAACACAAGAAACTCTGACCATAGCTACCAGATCAGGCCTTAGGGGTGAGATATGTGCTCCTTCATCTCTCTTTCCCTGGTTTATAGAGCTTAGGTGTCTAGATACCTAAAGTGAGGCAGCAGTGTGCATGCCTAGAGGCAGCAACATAGGCAGCTAGAGAACACTTACAGTACAAGTTTAGATGCTGAGTGAATTTTGGGGACTATGTGGTTGAGTGGCTCCTAAGTGGAGGTTTTGTGAATCACAATGGTGCCTAAAAATTGGGACTTAAGTGATTAAATACTTAATCTGGCTCTGGATCCAGGCTCTAGTGTTTAAGCAAAAAGGACAACCACCAAAATTTTAATAAGACTTGTGCTTATCATCCTTATCAGTCTGCTTGCACAGTGTGTCCCATTGCCATTCCCTTCCTGTTTTATAGAGGTCGCTGCTCCCAAGTGCATACATGTCTTCCTCTGTGTTTGTCTAGCATGCTGTGAATGCTCCTGTACGCTGAATAATCAGGGAGCAGAAAATGGAGGATTGACTTTAATCTGTGAAAGTGCTTTAGGTGCTCCCTTCTCCCCCTTGCCGAGAAGGGAGAACATGGCCCAAAGTTTGTAATGGAAGCACTTACCGCTACTACTTATGTTCATATACAAATTTTATACCAAGTTGCACTGCTTTCACATTCTCTGAAAGTACTGGATTTGAAAAGTGCATTTCATGAGACACAACCACTGATCATCCCATAGCTATGAAGTACTTACATGGAGTTTGTGCTGCCAACTCTTTTATAGAAAGGCGGCGAGGAGTCCTGTGGCGCCATGGACTGGCAGACGTGTTAGAGCGTGGGCTTTTGTGGGTGAATATCCACTTTGTCATGCATCTGGCAAGGTGGGTATTCACCCACGGAGGCTTGTGCTCCAGTGCGTCTGTTGGTCTGTAAGGTGCCACGGGACTCTTTGCCGCTTTTACAGATCCAGACTAACATGGCTACCCCTCTGATACTTAACTCTTTTCTAGAAAACTATAGTTCATAGATAGTAAATTGTAGACTCTGGAAACTTGCTATCATTATGATAATATAGAAACAATTCACATTCCTGCTGTCTACAGTTTACAAGCCAATATTACACCAAGATATGGTTAGGAGACGGGAAGAGAAGCACAAGCTAGCAAGTGCATGGTCTTTTAATCAACAGACTGCATAAACCACCACAGAACAATTTAAACAATTTATTTATTTTTGTGTCAGATTTGAAAGTGGTAGTAGAAACAGACATTTGAGAACAGAAAAATATTCAAGCAAAGTTGTACAGGGCCAGTCTAAATATATCATTGGTGCAAACCCAATTGTCACTAATATTCTTGAGAACAAACAGCTGGTGGAACCCCATCACTGGGTCATTATCCACCTAAATAAATAAATAAAATAGTAAGTTAGAAGTAGGACGTATAGCCCACATATCCAAGCCAAACCCCCTCCAACTACTCAAGTCTATTAGCATAGCTTGTATCAAATATCCACTGCCTTTCTTTTCAAGTCTATTCAACTGACATCAAGACACAGCATTAGTGGTATTACCTCACGCTCAAACAGGAATTCTTTTTAATTACAAAACTATTTAAATGCAGTAGCAGAATGCAGTATTTCTAAGACCAACAAGCTTCTCCTTACATACTAGTCAAAGCATTACAGTTTGCCAGTCTCACCTTCAGCTGACCAACCACCATACTAAGTATACAGTTATCAGGCGCTGGTTGGTGATCTTGAGATGTTATGCTGTGTTGGATTTTTTGGAATGGAAGGCTCTGTTCAGGAGGGATTAAAAAAGAAACTCAAACACTAAACATATTAATGCAAGTATTTGACTCCGTTAATATTTCTGCTCCAGCAGTGTACTTGGTACTCTACGTGGTCCCTGATCCAAGAGAGTTAGACATACAATGCAGCTAATACACAAAATACTAATTGGCCATATGAATGTCAAGTCTTAATAGTGCAAACAAAAGCAAATCTGATAGAAAAAAGTCAACGTTTAGTATAGTTAACTATAATATTGTGCTTTAGAAAAGTGTATTATTGTGTCAAGTGAGGGAATGGAAATCCCCCCTGTAACACTGTATAATAATCCTGCTCAATGATCTTGTAGGGAAGACAAATTTTCTAAATATTTCTTTCCTCATATCACAAGACGACCAATTTCCATATGGTCAACTGGCATACAGATCTATGTATGTGATTCTTTAACAACAACAAAAGGATTAGATATTAAGAAAGTTTTAATAAGTGGGTGTTTAAATATGCTGCATCTTAACACTTTTGTACTGTTTACTCAAACTAAAAAGTGACTATTGTAAGAAATGGCAACTTCTTACTCAGTTACTCTTATTTCCCGTGTGTATTCAGAACCCTATCTGCTGAAACTTACCAACAAGTTTAATATGTTTGATTCCGGTTAGCAGAGCAGACCTAGCTAAGAGAGTTAGATTTTATACTGCCTCATCCATCAACAGATCTGTGCATTAAGTTTCAACTACAGGGCCAAATTCATCCCTCAACTACAGTAACAAGGTTTCACAGGCATAACAGAGGGCTGAATTCAGCCTGCAGAACATCTTATTTGTAGGGAAGAGCAAGGAAAGAACTCAGCTTAACTTTGAGGTGCTGGCACTTTGAAAAAATATATTTGACTTGTAAATTAAGCAGATGTTATTGAACGAACATGGAACCTTACAATGCAATTTTAACATCAGTTTCATTGCAGCAATCAGATTTTTTTGAACTCTGAAAAGTTCTGCAACTCAGGTACAGGTGTTCTCTCTACTACCTGTAATCACATGGAAGCGTGCAGGTTTAATTGGTTTTTCAATCCTGAGACAACAAAGCAGTTCAGAGTTTTGTTTTGTTTTGTTTTTTAAAACCACTTTTAACATATACAGAAGCATACCATCAGCTTTTCCATGATGGCTGTTTTTCCTTGGAATTGCTGTCCTTCCCAGGACAAGCAAGAAGCATCTGTCTGAAAAAGAGAACAAAGTGTCTAAGTCATTCATGTCAATGTTACAGAAACGAGGTAAGATTGAAAGGTCTGAGGGATGTAGCCTAAAGCAGTGTTTCTCAACCTTTTTGATACTAGGTACCAGCTTGCTGCCTTCCTAAACTGTGTCAGGGACTGGCACTGGTCCATGAGAAACACTGGCTTAAAGAATCCTAGAGATACACATGAAGCGTTTGGTAATCTAATTTAGTCACTAGCAAATGAGTATTTGTTACAACTGGAAATTATGCAGAACATGACTAATAAGTTATCAAAAATGGTACAGCTTGTGATCAGAAAGGGAGATACTGGCAGAGTCAAGCAAGCTTTCAAGAAGTAGACCCACCCATTCTATTTTTGGCCTAGCTTCTGCCATCACTTACACTAGGGCTGTAGGGTTTTCATATTCAATCCTCACCCCACTTTAAGAACTTCTTTCTGTTTCCCCACAGAGGTCTTAAGAGGGCCTACAGTTCATATGGAAGAATGGCAGAATCAAGTTAAGAAAATTTTAAAAAAGCAAATTTCACCACTTCCCCTTTTAGTTTTTGATGTTTCTTCACTGTGACAGATCTCTCATAGTTCAAGTTCTCCAGCAAGTGAAACAACAACTCCCACTCCCTCGCCCTGACATTTCTGCTACTCAGAAAAATGGATTTTAAAAAAATCCCACAATTGTTGACAGAAGAGAGGAATATTTACCAAGAATCATATTTTATAGGGTAAAATGACAGTTTAAGGAATTAGAATTGGGGGGGATATGTACTTGATTCCATTCTATCCAAGACAGAAACATTGCCTCATACAAACTGTCTTTGTAGTGGAAGTTTGACTACAGAATACGTCAAGCCCATAACTTATCATTTAAAATGATCAATGAGGAAGTTAAAAGTTTGAGCAAAGTCAAACTGATACTTACATAGAGAGCACTTAGCTCTACTCTACTGGTATCAAAACGCTGGTAATAAAGATGCACAAAACTTGTTCCAACTTGCTCCCACATAGGTCTCTCTGCCATTCTTGCTCTTTGTCTAAGTCTGTCTAGAAGGCAAATATTTAGAAGTTTTAAGTCTAAAACAGTGATACTCAGACCGAGGCTGAGGAGCCACAAGTCACTCTTTAATGTGTGTCCTGCAGCTCTCTGCAGCACATATTAAAACACTGATTTAACTAATCAATCAGGATGCTTTTATTATATTAACCAATTTTAGCTGAGATATACATCTATCTACACACATGCACACAATATTTCCCCTGCCATACTGTTTAAATATGAGTATCTAGTACTACAGTAAATGAAACAATGAATTCACACTACTGTGGCTCTTTGGGTAATGTAGATTTCTAATTTGGCTCCTGAATCACTGAGGTCTGAGTATCAATGGTCTACAATAATCCTAAATTACCAAGGTCAGTGGAAACTGCAGAGAAAAGAGGAAATAGAAGATAAGAGAACATCTTTTCTGCAGCACACTTGGTGAGAGGGCACAACATTATGTATCATTTTACTTCTTATTTACTATTTGAAGTAGAATGCCACCATAAAGATTCTTTAAGGCAATTCAACTGCCAGTTTAAGTCTCAATTCTGCAGCAAGTTGCTTATGGGTGCCCCCCATGCAAGTGTAGAGTTCCATTGACTTCAATGGGCATCTGGTTGCACAGAGCTCATTGCAGGATTGAGGCCTTAATGCTTTCCATTCTTTTGGTGTGGTCTTGTAAACACATTAACAAGTTTATTTAGCTTCAGTCTTGGGAAACATCCCTCTTAGGCACCCACAAGCCCATCTCAGACCCTTTCATTCTTTAAAAACTTTCTTTCAAGCTCACATCTAAGTTTTTAAAAGAAAGCTAAAACAAGGCACGCTGAGAGACTCTCACATGGTCTATCACAATTTAAAAAAATAAAAATAAGTAGGAGGCTTTACATGCATTACACACAGGTATCTAAATGAAAAGTACACCACAACTAACTAATGGATCTCTGTTCAAGGGGGGCATTTTTGTGAATTTAAACAAAACACACAACTTCTAATTTTCTCTTGCTGCTGTTCATGGATACCCCATTACACTAACATGCACTGCCTATTACCCAAAATGCCCCTCTCCCCCAAACACTAAGAGATCCACCATCTGCACAAGATAGAGGATATGAAAGTTGGATAACTGAAGGTGTGGCTAAAACTGAGGCTCTGATTTGACATGTGAAAGACTTTACAGATATAGAGACTCCATAGATTTAAGCCCTAAAGTTCAGTTCTACTGTGAAAAGCATACTTGTTCGTACAGGAAAAAAACGTGTGGAAAGAACGTCTGTTGATGGTAGTAACTTAAGTTTTTGCTGCCCCTTAACAGTTGGACCTGCAGATTCATCAACTCAGAAGGGTTTGTCTACACTTAAAACACTACAACAGGTTCTCCCGTTGGCACAGGTAATCCACCCCCCAAGAGGCAGTAGCTAGGTGGATGGAAGACCCAGCACTGTTTACATGGGAACTTAGGTCGATTTAACAACACTGCTCAAACCAACCTAATTTTCTAGTAGAGACCAAGCCTAAGACTGAGTGAGAAGCAGAATCTCTCCTATTTTAGTGAACAAAAACCCCTGTTTTTTAAAAGTTAGTCGGTTCCGCCTGTGCAACCTCAATAACCACAAGGAGGTTGCATAGACGCCACTGGGAGCAGTTCGGTCCGTAGGATCTTTAGAATGGTGATGACCTGAAGAGCATCAAAGAGCACCGGGGCTAGCAGTTGTTTACCTGTAACCTGAACACACTAGATATGGGGGAAAAAAGAAAAGAAAAGAAAAAAAACCTCGCATAGTGAGAATGTCAAGTCCCTCTTCAGTGGGGAGCAGCTCTGCGCTCCAGGGGACACCACTAACTTAGCGAAAGAGATTTCAGGTCTTGCTCTCCAGACACTGTATGGGTTTAAGAAAGCGGCTCCCCCGTCCCCGCCTCGCGGTGTGTAAACCCCTTCCCAACAGGGGAAAGGGAGTCGAGCTGGCGGCAGTTTGCCAAGCCAAGCGCTGTGCAGCGCCGGCGAATTTGGCAAAGCCTCCTCTAAGGCAGCAAAAAAAAAATCCCTCCCCACCCACATGCTCAGGGGCAGCCTCCAGTCCCCCTCCCTAGCTGGGCGCCCAGGCTGCCTGCCTCCCCCTAGGCTGCACCCAGGCTCAGACCACAGGCGACTAACCCCCCCCCCCAAAAAAAGAAGCAACCAGGCAGGGGGTTGGGGGGGGCGGCCGAGCGCACGTGCAGCCAGAGACCCGAGGAAGGAAAGAGCAAGGGGCACACTCCCGGCACCAGCCGCCACCCATCCCGCCTGCCCTGCCCCGCCCCCAGCGGGTTCCCCCTGCCACGCGACCAGCCTGGGGAAGAAAATGCGCGGCGCCCGCTGAAGCGGCTCGTCCCCAGACTCCGCTCAGCCCAGCCAGCGGCGGCCGCGCGCAACCCGGCGCGCGCCCGCGCGCTCTCACCGGCCGCCCGCTACCTGCGAGCCCGGCTCAGGCGCCCCCTGCGCACGTGGTAGTTGGGGCGGGGCTGGCGAGCCGCTAGGTGGCGCCCCGGGGCCGGGTTTGAGCTGGAGTCCGAGGGCCCAGCGGCGGCCGCCCCGTGGGAAGGGAAACTGCGCCCGCCTCTAGCGCCGCTGCTGGGCGAACACCCCCGCGTCAGGAGCGAAACCGATACCGCCGCTCGGGCGCTGATTACCGCGCGCCGGACGGGCTCAGGGCGGGCACGGGGTGCCGCTGAGACGGCGTGATCCAGCGGGCTCCGTGCTGCGGGGCGGTTGGCACGCTTCTCTCTCGGAGTCACGGCTGAATCGGCCTCCTGCGTTGTGCTCTTGGCGCGCCAGCTTTTCTATTAGATCTAAAACTGACCCTGGCCAGGTCTTGTTGTGAGAGATCCAACAGCGCTCTTTACCGGAGTAAAGGTGTCAGGCCCGATGACCTGATTGCGTATAATTATTCATCTGAAATTTCAACTGGGTAAAGGGCACCTGCATTTCCAATTGGCTATGGAATGGCATCCTTTGAAGTGAGCTGTAGCTCACGAAAGCTGGTGCTCAAATAAATTGGTTAGTCCCTAAGGTGCCCCAAGTCCTCCTTTTCTTTTTATGGATATTCAGTTACTTGTTATTTTTGTTTATTCCTAAACTTTTATACTTCTGCTGGGCCCTGTTAAAACAACTGTTGTGGGCTGCTTTTCAGTGGTGTGCTTTGGGAGTCTCAAGGATGAAAGGTATTATGTAAATATAGGATGCACCTTTGCGGAAGTTTGGTGTAATTAATTTTTGCTAGGAAACTGCAAAATCATGAGTTCAAGTCTTTAATAGCAACACTTTCAGTGATATGCTTGTGAATGTAAAGATTTCACTCATGGGGAGGGAGAAGAAAAGGAAAAATGGTATTTAAAACATTTTGGGTACAGTTTTGAAACAAGCCTTTGACAACGTCCCTCACCAAAGGCTCTTACGTAAATTAAGTTCTCATGGGAGAAGAGGGAAGCTCCTTTCATGGATTGAGAACTGGTTAAAAGACAGGGAACAAAGGGTAGGAATAAATGGTAAATTTTCAGAATGGAGAGGGGTAACTAGTGGTGTTCCCCAAGGGTCAGTCCTAGGACCAATCCTATTCAACCTATTCATAAATGATCTGGAGAAAGGGATAAACAGTGACATGGCAAAGTTTGCAGATGATACTAAACCGCTCAAGATAGTTAAGACCAAAGCAGACTGTGAAGAACTTCAAAAAGATCTCACAAAATTAAGTGATTGGGCAACAAAATGGCAAATGAAATTTAATGTGGATAAATGTAAAGTAATGCACATTGGAAAAAATAACCCCAACTATACATACAATATGATGGGGGCTAATTTAGCTACAACTAATCAGGAGAAAGATCTTGGAGTCATCGTGGATAATTCTCTGAAGACATCCACGCAGTGTGCACCTGCAGTCAAAAAAGCAACTGGGATGTTAGGAATCATTAAAAAAGGGATAGAGAATAAGACGGAGAATATCTTATTGCCCTTATATAAATCCATGGTACGCCCACATCTTGAATACTGCGTACAGATTTGGTCCCCTGATCTCAAAAAAGATATACTGGCATTAGAAAAGGTTCAGAAAAGGGCAACTAAAATGATTAGGGGTTTGGAACAGGTCCCATATGAGAAGAGATTAAAGAGGCCAGGACTTTTCAGCTTGGAAAAGAGGAGACTAAGGGGGATATGATAGAGGTATATAAAATCATGAGTGGTGTGGAGAAAGTGAATAAGGAAAAGTTATTTACTTGTTCCCATAATATAAGAACTAGGGGCACCAAATGAAATTAATGGGTGGCAGGTTTAAAACAAATAAAAGGAAGTTCTTCGTCACTCAGCGCACAGTCAACCTGTGGAACTCCTTGCCTGAGGAGGTTGTGAAAGCTAGGACTATAACAGGGTTTAAAAGAGAACTGGATAAATTTATGGAGGTTAAGTCCATTAATGGCTATTAGCCAGGACGGGTAAGGAATGGTGTACCTAGCCTCTGTTTGTCAGAGGGTGGAGATGGATGGCAGGAGAGAGATCACTAGATCATTACCTGCTAGGTTCACTCCCTGTGGGGCACCTGGCATTGGCCACTGTCGGTGGACAGGATGCTGGGCTAGATGGACCTTTGGTCTGACCCAGTATGGCCATTCTTATGTTCTTATGTTAGGCCTCTGAAATTGCCCCTAAAATTTTTCCCATACGTAAAACTCACATTTGCACATGCAAACTTGTTTGCCTAGACCATTTGGGTAGTTAGATGCTGAATTACCCTACTTATGCCTACAAAATACCTTTGTTCTTGTATATGCAGGATTTATACATGGACCTAATCAACATTTATGGGTACAATTTTAAAGGCCCATTTGAAAATGTTGGCATTTATTTTTATTCTGTTAAAGTTTTCAATTCACAAACTTTTTATATATTTGTATGTGCTTTTCTGATACATCTTTAAGCTGCACATATTTCCCTAAATAGATTATTCTAATTATGTAGAAAAATATTCCTTGTATGTAAAAGAGAAACTCATATAAAAACTATTAACTCAAACTCATTAATATACAGAGAAAAAGTAACATTTTTTTACAAAAAGAAAAGAAGTACTTGTGGCACCTTAGAGGCTAACAAATTTATTTGAGCATAAGCTTTCGTGAGCTACAGCTCACTTCATCGGATGCAGTTGCATAATGCAGAAATTGCTTTCCCAATTTTATGTAACTTCTAAAATGTTCTCAATGTCTGAGACTAACCATGAGAAATGTTCGGCCAAAAGTAGAGGGATGTTTTTAAAACCTCATGACAGATTAAAAAAGCATAGCTCTTATGTAGATAAGGCTGAAAGATGGCTTCTTATGGATACATAACTCTAACTACATAATACACTATTTTGTTTGTCTTAAAAGAAAGTTATAGATTTATCTCAGGGGGTAGCCGTGTTAGTCTGTATCAGCAAAAACAACAAGGAGTACTTGTGGCACCTTAGAGCAGATGTGGGCAAACTATGGCCCGTGGGCCACATCCGACCCACGGGACCGTCCTGCCCAGCCCCTGAGCTCCCAGCCGGAGAGGCTAGCCCCAGCCCCTCTCCCGCAGCCACGCCACCGTGTGGGGAGCGTTCTGGCCCGCTACTCCTGCTGTGCAGCTCGGCTTGCACCCGCCCACCTTCCAGTGGCTTTCTAATAAGCCAGTCCTGCCACTCTGAGCAGCATGGAAAGGGGATGGGGAGCAGGGGGGTGGGATAAGGGGCAGAGGATCCTGGGGGGCAGTCAGGGGACAGGGAGCAGGGGGCGGTTGGATAGGGGGCGGGGAGCAGAGGGTGGTTGGATGGGGTGGAGGTTCTGGGGAGGGTGGTCAGGGGATAAGGAATGGGGGGTTAGATAGGCGTGGGAGTCCCAGGGGGACTGTCGGGGTGGGGGTGTGGATAGGGGTCAGGGCAGTCAGGGGACAGGGAGCAGAGGGGTGGGGGGTTGGATAGGGGACCGTTGCATACAGGACCCCCAACCCATCCAACCCACTCTGCTCCTTGTCCCCTGATTGGTCCCGGGAGGGGGCAATCAGGGGACAAGGAGCAGGATGGGTTGGGGGTTCTGAGGGGGGCAGTAAGGGAGTGGGAAGTGGGAGGGGATGGGGGCTAGGCTGTTTGGGGAGGCAGCCTTCCCTACCCAGCCTTCCATACCGTTTCGCAACACTGATGTGGCCCTTAGGCCAAAAAGTTTGCACACCCCTGCCTTAGAGACTAACAAATTTATTTGGGCATAAGCTTTTGTGGGCTATAACCCACTTACAGCCTGCAAAAGCTTATGCCCAAATAGATTTATCTGTAATTACAAACAAAAATTTGTATTAAAAGGCTTTTCAGCTTGTCTTTATTAGCTAAGATCTGAGTTTAGAGTTCTTTGTTTCTCTATGATGACTGATGATAGGTACATTCTCTGCACTGTTTTAAGTTTCAGAGTAACAGCTGTGTTAGTCTGTCTTCGCAAAAAGAAAAGGAGTTCTTGTGGCACCTTAGAGACTAACCAATTTATTTGAGCATGAGCTTTCGTGAGCTACAGCTGCATCCGATGAAGTGAGCTGTAGCTCATGAAAGCTCATGCTCAAATAAATTGGTTAGTCTCTAAGGTGCCACAAGTACTCCTTTTCTTTTTACTGTTTTAAGTGTTATGGTCACCTGCTGTTCTAGAGAAAAACTAAGTTTAGAGTTCTGGTTAATGGAAGAGGAGTAAAGAAGGGCCTAGTTTGCAGCTGTTCTGTTTTTTAAATTGGTTTGCAATAGAATTTAGCTAAAAGAATAGATTTAGGCAGTTTTCCATCTAATCCTTGCATTTGGTTGATTGCTACACTCAACTATGTAACAAAGCATATAGAGTCCACAGCTGATTCCTCTCTTATTAGCGTACTCATTTGCTAGCACAGAAAACAATACAGTTCCAGGCCCATGAAAATTACCTTCAATATGTCTGAAGTAAAAGGTAAAAAGTATAAAGATAAAAACATTGCTCAGTGTACTGTATGGTACAGTCATTATATTCAAAGATCCAAAAAGATAAACCAGCACTGAAAAAATTAACCACTTTCCTCTTATTAGTGGCTTCTGGTACGAAACTGCAGAAAAACCTGAGTGTCTCTGGATTAAGTTTAGAAGTGTGTGCAACAAGAGTGATGTAGTGGTGGGAGTCTGCTATAGACCACCGGACCAGGGGGATGAGGTAGATGAGGCTTTCTTCTGGCAGCTCACGGAAGCTACTAGATCGCATGCCCTGATTCTCATGGGTGACTTTAATTTTCGTGATATCTGCTGGGAGAGCAATACAGCGGTGCATAGACAATCCAGGAAGTTTTTGGAAAGCGTAGGGGACAATTTCCTGGCGCAAGTGCTAGAGGAGCCAACTAGGGGGGGCGCTTTTCTTGACCTGCTGCTCACAAACTGGGTAGAATTAGTGGGGGAAGCAAAAGTGGATGGGAATCTGGGAGGCAGTGACCATGAGTTGGTTGAGTTCAGGATCCTGACGCAGGGAAGAAAGGTAAGCAGCAGGATACGGACCCTGGACTTCAGGAAAGCAGACTTCGACTCCCTCAGGGAACGGATGGCCAGGATCCCCTGGGGGACTAACTTAAAGGGGAAAGGAGTCCAGGAGAGCTGGCTGTATTTCAAGGAATCCCTGTTGAGGTTACAGGGACAAACCATCCCAATGAGTCGAAAGAATAGTAAATATGGCAGGCGACCAGCTTGGCTTAATGGTGAAATCCTAGCGGATCTTAAACATAAAAAAGAAGCTTACAAGAAGTGGAAGGTTGGACATATGACCAGGGAAGAGTATAAAAATATTGCTCGGGCATGTAGGAATGATATCAGGAGGGCCAAATCGCACCTGGAGCTGCAGCTAGCCAGAGATGTTAAGAGTAACAAGAAGGGTTTCTTCAGGTA